TCGGAAAATTGTCACGACATAACGAAGCATCAGGTTAATCACTAGAGTGAGGATTGAGGGTGACGGAACATAATTTGAAGCAGATGTGGTAGTTGACGAGAGAATATTAGCAATTAATGGAGCACGGGAGAATGGCTTCTGGAGGAGTCGAAGTTATGTGGGCATTACGTGCTCGTGTGCATAACTGCCGTCTCATAATCTAAACGTAACACTTACGTGTAATTACAATGATGCCTATTACTGCTGAATGCAGTAATGGGTTTTGCTCAAGCCTATTATTGCGGTTCCATGCCGTCTTGCTCGTTTCCTCATTCATTTCCGATGTATCATTGACTCGCCCTCATTCATCTTTCTTCCAGAAAGTTGTGTTCTGTTCATTTAGTCATCCTTTAGTTTGGTTTTATTTGATCTGCAGCAGAAATGGTATTTGGCAAGCGATTTGCTACGATTTGGATGCGGTTATTTTGAACTGGAAATATTGCTAAACTGGCTTATTTTTATAGATTCCAGCTTCTCGATGGTATATTTAATAGCTTTCCATAATTTCTTGGAATGTTCATGATGTTAATTTGACTGTTAATTGTTGTGTTTTTACTAATCCTGTGTTCGGTTCTCGTAAAATCTTTGTATTTCGACTGTTCTGAGATTATTCGATTCAATTTTATCATGATTTTTTGTTTGATTTATTGAAGCAATGAAAATGATTGGCTAAGAAGGCATTAAAGGCTTAGCACAAATATTCCATGTTCGACGTTTAGTTGCATGCTTTTGGTTGAGGCAAGAAAGGAATCAACATCCTATATATTCGTGGCTGTGAAGAAATGATTTGTTCTACGATTACAGATACAGAACTCTTGGAAAGCGTATATTGAGTGACATATGGCTTCGCACAAAAAGCTGAAGCAACTCTTGGCCATTGTTTCACTCAGTGACTTCAGTGTTATGGTTGCTTTCATGGAAGCAATGTAAAGTAACCAATTTATATTGCCTATCGTTTAGTGGTACATATTTTTCAGCTGAGAGTTGTTTGTGAATTTCATTTGTGTTTTGGTGGTGTGCTAAGGTTCTGTTGAGGCAGCTGAATTACGGTCTGATTCTGAGTTCGTGTTTGAAATATTTTCAATTTCCGTTAAGAACTTTGACGCGACGTTATCACCATTTCACAAACAAAGTGAAATTTAGCAATGAACGTTTTATTTCGTTGCAGATGGGAGGTATCAGTACAACCGATGGATTCAAATTTGCATGGCCCTTTCCGAGAAAGCCATCGCTTTTGTATAAAATTAAATCAAGAGCTGTTATGATAATGGTAGAAACTTTTGCGAAATCGTTATTTGCGCTGAGTATGTTTTGCATTCAGATTCATCACCATTATAGTGATTGCGTATTTTCATTGATCATTCCATCTTTGAGCTTATTTATTCAATTTAGAATGAATTCTAGTTTTGAACTGAAGATGATTGCAGATTTGAATCGTATCACTGTAATAAATCGTGAACGATTGATACGATTAGTGGTGGATCGAACAAGGCCATTGATAACAGTTGCGAATCATCGGTGTATGATCGATGACCCTCTCGTCTGGGGTTAATTTTCATGTTTCATCTTCTTTATACTTGTCGGAAATGAAGTGGCGTTGCTGTTGAAGTCTAACAGCATTTCCCCATTCCCATGTGTAATCCTGTCCATCACATAACACAGAACAGTGTTGCTCAATAAAGTTGTGCGTTAATTATCATTATATTGATATGTTCCCTCTGTGCATATTCTCAGCAAAATTTCATATGCCAATCATTATTCAAAAAAGTGAATTTCAGCTCTATTTTCATGGCGTGAGTTCTTCGCGAATTTATCGAGATGTCGTTATACGTTAACAGCTCATAACATCTGCTTCACAAAAGCATGGCATACAACGTGAGTTGTTCTTATTATATGCAATGCAGCTTTATTCACTTGCATGAATAATGAAACAAGGCATCAAGTGGCTGTCTGACAGTTTATTTGTTGTTAGCATGTGGATCATATAGAGGAATCGAATATTAATATTTTAAAATTTTTAGACTCTTCTCACTGGGTCGTTGTGTACCGGTTGTGCGTGGTGCTGGTGTTCGTCAGAAAGGTGTTGATTTTTGTATAGAAAAATTAGCAGACAATAATTGGGTGCACGTATTTCCCGAGGGTAAAGTAACACCTCATCCGATTCGTATCAAATGGGGAGTTGCTAGATTGGTTGGTTATCCATCAGTTGTTTTGAGTGAATTTTCATTCTCTTGTCTCTCAGTCATTCACGTATGTTTGTTTGTTCTTTGAGCAATACTCATTTCGAGATCGTCAATCCTCTTTTATGCATTGGCTGCAAAAGACTCGGAGTGTTTGCATTTAACGAACATTTCTTTATTTGAGATATGCACCTAGTTGAGTGAT